CCAGCAAACGACTCCCGGTCCCTACCACCGTCCGCGCCACATCCCCCATTGTTGTTCCCAGCACCAATGTCCTCACCACCACTGTCCCCACTTGTTCCACCATCGTCCCTACTGTCCCCACCAGTGCTCCCACCACTGTCGCACTGTCCCCACTGTCCCCACCACTGTTCCCACCACGGCTCCACTCTCCCCACTTTTTCCACGGCCCCAACCACTGCCCGACTATCCCCAGTGTCCCCACTGCCCCACTGAATCCTCCGCTGTCCCACTGGGTTGTCCCATGTCCCACTGTTCCCACCACTGTCCCCGCTGTCCCCACCACTGTTCGCACTGTACCTCTGTCCCATTGTCCCACCGCCGTCCTCGCCACCGCCTTCACCACTCTCCCCACCACCACTGTACCCTCCACTGTCCGACTGTTTCCACCTCCCTCTGTCCCCACACCACTGTCCCCACCTCCACCGTCCCCGCCACTGTCCACTGTCCCCACTGTTCCCACCATTGTCCTCACCACTGTCCCCACCAGTACAGTTCCCACCACTGTCCCAGTGTCCCCACCACTGTCCCGCTGTCCCCTCACCACTGTCCCCACCACCACCGTCCCCACTACTGTCCGCACCCCCCCTCGGTTTTCGAGGAGGGGGAGGGGGGGGGTTCGAACCGGTAGCGACCCCCCCCCGGTTTTCGAGGGGGGGGGGTTCGAACAGGTAGTGACCCCCCCCCCTTTTCATGATGAGCTGGGGGAGGGGAGGGGCTCGAACCGGTAGTGACCCCCCCCCCCCGGTTTTCCGAAGGGGGGGGGAGGGGTTCGAACCGGTAGTGACCCCCCCCGGTTTTCCGCCAGCAGCGGTAGAACACGCTCTTTCATATCTACAGACAGACTTGCCGACCTACCTACCGAATTACCCACATACATACCGACATACATACATATATACATACACAGGTATACATTCATCCATACATACATACGAGAGAACGCGTTTCACGGGCGCTTGCCTGCGGAACATTCGGCGGCGCGTTTCGAACCGGTGGGTGGGCCCCCCCCAACACCCGGCGCCGTCGATCAAAACCACGGGGACTCCCCTCCCCCCAAAACCCCCCCCCCTTCCCGAACCCCGCGCGCGCCCGCGCGGCTGACCCCCCTCGCGCCGGCGCGCCGGCGCTAGCGGCGGTCAGCAGCTTAGGCGCTGGCGCTAGCGACGGCGGGGACACAGCGACGCGTCCAACCACTACCACCACCACCATTACTACCACCACCACCACCGCCTCAACCCACCACCACCACCACCAAAACCAGCACCACACAACCACCACCACCACTACCACAGCCACCACCACCACGACAACCACCACCACAACTCACCATCACCACCACCACCAAAAAAACCCACCACAATTACCACCATCACCACCACCACAATCTACCACACCACCACCACCGAGGCCACAACCACCAACACTACCAGCAGCACAACCCCCCGCCACCACCACAAACCACGACACCACAACCACCACCACCACCACACCAAACGTCCACAAACCACCGCCACCACCACAACCCACCATCACCACTACCACAACCACAAACCACCACCACACCACCGCCACACTACCACAACCACCACCACCACAATTCACCATCACCACCACCACCACGAAAACCTACCACCACGACCACCACCACCACCACCAAAATCTACCACAAAACCGCCACCACCGCCACAACCAAAACAACTACCAGCAGCACAACCCACCACCACCACAAACCACCGCACCACCACCACCACCACCACCATCGCCACCACCACCACCACCACCAGCACCACCTCCACAAACCACCGCCACAACTATAACACACCACCACCACTACCACCACCACAAACCATCACAACACCGCCACCAAACCACCACCACCACCACCACCACCACAAACCACCACCAGACCACCACCAAGCCACCACCACCACCACCACAAACCGCCACAACCACCACTACCACCACAAACCACCACACCACCACCACCACAACCACCACCACCGCCACCACCACCACCACCACAACCCACCACCACCACCACCACCGTCGTCCTCGTCGTCCTCGTCGACGCTCCCCGCCACCGGCGCCGGCGCCGGCCCAGAAATCGAAATCGTCGTCCCCGCCGCTGTCGCCAGCCGCCGCCGACGCAAGCGCCGGCCCGAGGAGAGGGGAAGCAGGGAGGGGAAGGGGGGGGGTTGAACCCCCCCCCTTGTCGCGGGGGGGGGGGGGGGGGTCGAACCCCCCCCCCCCCCGTGACTGGAAGGGGGGGTTCGAACCCCCCCACTCCATCCAGGGGGGGGGTCCAGTTCCACCCCCCCCCTCCAAGCGACCACGGAAAGCGCTCTTTCATACATACAACATACATACATACATACATACATACATACATACATGCATACATACATAAATACATACATTACATTACATTACGTTACAATACACTACACTACACTACACTACACTACATTACACTACACTACACTACACTACACTACACTACATTACATTACACTACATTACATTACATCGCATCACATCACATCACATTACATTACATTACACTACATTACATTAAGGTACACCACAGCACATTACATTACATTACATTACATTACGTTACGTTACATTACATTACATTACATTACACTACATTGTATTACATTTCATTACATTGCATTACATTACATTACATTACAATACATTACATTACATTACATTACACTACATTACATTACATTACATTACAGTACAATGCGTTATAATACATTGCATTGCATCACATTACATTACACTACATTACATTACATTAAAATACATTAACACTACATCACATTACATTACATTACACTGCATTACATTACATTACATTATATTATATTACATTACCTTACATTACATTACATTACAATACATTGCATAGATACATGCACACGTACATACATACATACATACGTACATACATACAAATATACTTGCATACATAACTATATACATACATACATACATACATACATGCATACACACATACACACACACATACATACATACATACATGCATACATACATACATACATACATACATACATACACATACATACATACATACATACATACATACATACATACACACACATACATACATACGTACGTACGTACGTACGTACGTACGTACATACATACATACATACATACATGCATACATGCATGTTTGCATACATGCATATCTGCCGACCTACCTAGCTACCCACCTACCTACGTACAAACATACCTACTTACCTACCGACCTACCTACCTACTCCCACCTACAACCCTACCTACCTCCATACATTCATTATACACACCGATCCCGACCACTGCTGGGCAGGCCGGGGCCATCGGGCCCCTTTCGGCGATCCGTGGGCGCTGGGGCGTCGACGCACCCCCGCCCCTGAGCGTCAGCCCCCCCGCCGACGCTGCCCCCGAGTCTCGAGGCCACCACCACCGGCAGTGCTCCCGACCTCGAGGATCCGGGGCAACGCCCGCGCGGGCGGCCGCCGCCGGCGACGAGGGAGGCGGCGAGCGGAGCGGCCCCCGAGGGCGCACGGGGGTCGGGCCTCCGCCGCCGGGCCGACGGCCGCCTTCGTGTCCTCGTCGAAGGAGGCGTAGACCTCGGCCTCCCACTTGGCCTGCCGGGGGGGGGGGGGGCAAGGCTCAGGTCGCGCAGGTCCTCCTAGAGGCTGGGTGTCGACGACGGCTTCAAAGAGTCCAGACATGGTCAGAAAGATGGCCCGTGCATGGTCGAAGAACCGTCCCCGGACCATGTTTTTCACTGTGTTTGAAGATTCCTCCTGTTAGGGAACCCACAGGGGACGTACGCGCCAAGCTATGTACATGAACACGGCCCCTCGATTCGCGAGACGGGCCGCGTTATACGAGCATTTGTGCAATGCGTGGTCTCGAAACCAGCGTGGATTCATGTACATGTACGTCCTTCTTTCGCTCCTGACCTGTGGAGGGACGTGCCCGAGTTAAGGCAAGAACGAGGCTCCGCTGGAGCCGTGGAGGAGGCGAGAGCGTGGCCACAGGGCTCGGCCAGGACAGTGTCTTTCGTGCTCGTGGTGCGTTCGTGGGCCCTCTCTGTTTGTCTCCGACCCCCCTTTGCAGCAAGGAGGAGTCGAGGCGAAAACGGTCCACGACATCACAAAGAAACACCGTGTAGGTCAAGCCCTGCGTGGCCACATGACCTTCACACACGAGCGAGGATCAGAAGCGGGCCTTGGGCGAGATGGCACAGCGATCTCACGCCGCGGCGTACACGGGTCATTGCACTGGCCTTGCAGACCTGCTGCAGCGGATTTCTGCGTGCATTTCTGCGTGGATGTTTGCCCGAAACGGGGAGCTAAAAACGAAGTCAATTTCGCGCGGATTATTGTTGGTCTTCAGTCCTGGTCAAAAAAAAAATCAACACGACATGCACTGCGAAATCCGGAACAGAACTCTCCAGGACACTCCAGGCCCATCCTATCTCGGGGATCTTCTGACCCGGGTCAATCCCGACACGGGTCAGCAGGATACCAAAAACTGCAATGCAGGAAAAAAAAAAAAAACAAAAAAAAATGCAACGCAGGTCTTCGCAAACCCGGGTCAGCCAATGTGTGCGGCCGCCTCGCGGCCACGAGCGGCTCGCCAACCCGGGTCAGCCAGAGGGGGTCTCCGCAGGATCCTGCAGGATCCGGTGCCGTGGCTGACCCTCCTTTGCATTGGCCCCCGTCTCAAGGCTCCCGACTATCGTTCTCCGAACGAGCACCGGTCTGCGACGTCGGCGCCACGACGCCGCGGCGTGCGCGGGCCACCAGCGCGGCGGGCCGCAGCGAGGCGAGGGCGCTCGCGCGCGGCCCTCGGCGGGCAGCTCTCGCGCGCCGGCGTCGGTGCAGACGGCCCCGTTGTTGCGTGCGCCGCTCGTGTAAGTAAAGATCATATCGGGTCGGGCGAAAGGGGGGGATAGCAAAGGGGGGGTTTGAGAATCAGCTCACGCAGCTGATTTTCCCGGCGCCTCCCGGCGCTGGAGGCAGCTATGTATCGAGGAATGGGCCCCTCGGTGAGGCCGAAACCAGCTGCATGCAGCAAATTTCGTAACCTCCCCTTTCCCAATCCCCCCCTTTCGCCCGGCCCGATCATAGAACAATCGTCCCTGTGCTATGCTTCGACTATTTTCGGAGATTCCTCCTGTGGAGGGACATGCCAGACTTGAGCCCAGGGCCAAGCTGGAAGTGAGAGAAGGCAGGCCTTCGCTCAAGAGCGGCGGGGCTTCTCCGAGGCCCTCCCGGCCTTCCGAGAGACCATCTGCGTCTTCGGAGAGAAGGCTTCGGAAGCTTCCTAGGGGGCGCGAGGGCTTGAGGGAAGCCCCGCCGCCTTCTGAAAAGGTCTTCTGAGAGGGGCCGTCTGCGTCCGCGGAGGCTTCGAGAACTTCACAGAAGGCGCGAGGGCTCTCGAGAAGCCCCACCGCCTGCTGAGGATGTATCGTTTCGCAGATGCGACAAGGAAACCAATTCTGAGGTGAATCAACTAACTCTGAAGTCGATCCACCAATCGAAAATCGGGCTGGCACGCGTCCTAAGGATCATCGGCTGCTGCGGGGCGCCCCGCCCCGCGGAAGGACAGGCCAGGACCAAACAGGACGCTGAGCCCGTGCGCGCGCGCGCGGAGGCGTGCCACAAGGGCTCGACGGAAGCGGGTCGACCCCTCTCGACAGTGGCCGCCCCTGGGCCCGGCGCCTGCCAGGATCCCAATACGGGACTATTCGTGCCCATCGCTCGCCAGGTCATCTTCTCCCTTGTGTCACTCCAGCGCTGCGGTCTGGCACGACGTCGCTCTGCCCGGCTGGGTATGCTGAGCTTCTCCACTAATTGTCGTGCCCTGCGGAAGGGGCGGCCCTGTCCCGTCTGGAAGTCAACCAGTCGGGAATCAGGGGCCCGGTCAGCCCCCGCCGACGGCGCCCACGTGCCAGCACGCGCCAGAGCACCCCTCGGCGCGCAAGGGCGAGCCCCGCGGAGAAGCGGCGATATACATGCCGGGGGGGACGCCAACAACGACGACGACGACGACGACGACGACAACGACAACAACAACAACAACAACAACAACAACAACAACAACAACAGCAGCAGCAGCAGCAGCAGCAGCAGCAACAGCAACAACAACAACAACAACAGCAGCAACAACAGCAACAACAACAACAACAACCACAACAACAACAACAACAACAACAACCACAACAACAACAACCACAACAACAACAACAACTACAACAACAACAACAACAACAACAACAACAAGAACAACAACAACAACAACAACAACAACAACAAGGTCGACACGTGCACAGCCCACCCGTCCACGGCCCGACATTCCACGCCTTCACCCACTGGGCGAACACGTGGACTGACGACCCGTGGACCCACTATCACCCCCCCAACACCAACACCAACACCAACACCAACACCAGTTCCATAGGATCCCTATGGTCACCGTGGCTCTGAGACCACCCTTACGCACCTCCACGTATTCCTGCGACTGGAAACGATGTGCGCACAGGCCAAGCGACCATCGGGCATCCCTCGGATTCCATGCGGAATCCTAGGGATCCATGGGGAATCCCGAGGGGATCCGATACAGTGCCTACACGCCCTGAATTGGATCCTCTGCAGATCATACACGGCCCTCTTGGAATCCTATACAGAGCCTACACGGCCTGTACGGGATCCTATACAGAGCCTACACGCCCTGTATGGGATCCTATACAGAGCCTACACGGACTGCACGGGATCCTATACAGAGCATACACGGCCTGTACGAGATCCTATACAAAGCCTGCACGCCCTGTATGGGATCCTATACAAAGCCTACACGGACTCTACGTGATCCTATACAGAGCATACACGGCCTGCTTGGGATCCTACACAGAGCCTACACGGCCTGTGCGGGACCCTATACAAAGCCTACACGCCCTGTATGTGATCCTGTAAAAAAGCCGACCAGGACTGCACGGGATCCTAGACAGAGCCTCCACGGCCTGTGTGGGATGATATGCAGAGCCTACACGGCCTGCCTGGGATCCTATACAGAACCTACACGGACTGCACGGGATCCTATACAGAGCCTACACGCCCTGTGTGGGATCCGATACAAAGCCTACACGGCTTGTGTGGGATCCTATACAGAGCCTACACGGCCTGTGGGATCCTACATAGAGCCTACACGCCCTGTGTGGGATCCTATACAGAGCCTACACAGCCTGTATGGGACCCTATACACAGCCTACACGCCCTGTGTGGGATTATATACAGAGCATACACGGCTTGCTTGGCATAGAAAGCCTACACAGCCTGTGCGGAATCCTATACAGAGCCCACACGCTCTGTATGGGATCTTATACAAAGCCTACACGGCCTGTATCAGTAGCAATCGTAGTCGTAGTAGTAGTAATAGTAGTAGTAGTAGTAGTAGTAGTAGTGATAGTAGTAGTAGTAGTAGTAGTAGTAGGAGTAGTAGGAGTAGTAGGAGTAGTAGGAGTAGGAGTAGGAGTAGGAGTAGGAGTAGGAGTAGGAGTAGGAGTAGGAGTAGGAGTAGGAGTAGGAGTAGGAGTAGGAGTAGGAGTAGTAGTAGTAGTAGTAGTAGTAGTAGTGGTAGTGGTAGTGGTAGTGGTAGTGGTAGTAGTACTACTAGTGGTAGTAGTAGTAGTAGTAGCAGCATTAGTAGCAATAGTAGTAGTAGTAGTACTCATACTATAAGCAGTGGTAGTGGTAGTAGTCGTAGTAGTAGTAGTAGCAGCAGTAGTAGCAGTAGTAGTAGTAGTAATAATAGTAGTAGTAGTAGTCGTAGTAGTAGTAGTAGAAATAGTAGTAGTAATAATAGTAGTTGGAGTAGTAGTAGAAGAAGAAGAAGAAGTACTAGGAGCGGTAGGGTGTGTTGCAGTAGTAGTTGTAGTAGCAGTAGTAGTGCTAATAATAGTACTAGTAGTAGCAGTAGTAGTAGTAGTAGGTGGTACTAGTAGTAGTAGTAGTAGTAGTAGCAAAAGTAATAATAGCAGTGGTCGTAGTAGTAGTCGTCGTCGTAGTAGTAGTGGTAGTACTAGTAGCACTAGTAGTAGTAGTAGTAGTAGTAGCAGTAGTAGTAGTAGTAATAGTAGTAGTAGCAGTAGCAGTAGCAGTAGCAGTAGCAGTAGCAGTAGTAGTGGTAGTAGTACTAGTTGAACTAGTAGTACGAGTAGTACTGGTAGTAGCCGTAGTAGTAGTGGTAGTAGTAGTAGTAGTAATAGTAGTGGTAACAGTAGTAGTAGTAGTAGTAGTAGTAGTAGTAGTAGTAGTAGTAGTACTAGTAGTAGTAGTAGTAGTAGTAGTAGTAGTAGTAGTAGTAGTAGTAGTAGTAGTAGTAGTAACAGTAGTAGTAGGAATAGTAGTAGTAGTAGCAGCAGTAGTAGTAGTAGGAGAAGTAGAAGTAGAAGTAGTAGTAGTAGTAATACTACTACTAGTAGTAGTAGTAGTAGTAGTAGTAGTAGTAGTAGTAGTAGTAGCGGGGCCACGGCCACGATCCTCGAGAGGGGTGTGCCGAAATCAAGCTTCGGTGGTGCTCCCTGTGGGGCCAGGGACCACGATCCTCGAGAGGTGGATTCCCTCGGGATTCCTCAGGATTCCCGAAGGATTCCTCATGATTGCCTAAGGATTCTCAAAGATCCCCTAAGGATTCCTACGGCGAAGTGCTTAAGGATGTGCTCAGAGCCACGGCCACCATAGGGATCTTATAGGACTCCTATCGGATCCCATCGGAACCCCATAGGATGCCATAGGAATTTCGAAATGATTCCATACGGATCCTATAGGGTTCCATGGGATCCTATAGGGGCCCTACAGGATCCCACGCGGGTCCTGTAGGATTCCGTAGAGAACCTGTAGGGTTCCATAGGAACCATATAGGACTCCTGGAGGATTCCCTTGGGATCTTCTAGGATTCCATAGGGATCCTGTGGGACGATAGGGTTCCATAGGGATCCATGGGGATCATGTAAGGATTCTCAGGGATCCTATAGGGATTTCTACGGATGATCCCATATGGCACCCTACAGGATCTATATGAAAGCCTATAGGATCTTCATGGTATCCTATAAAACCCTGTGGCAGTTCTATTGGATTCCTATGGAACCGTATAGGTTCCCGATGGAGTCGTACAGAGTACCCAAGTATCCTATAGGACCCCTCTGGAATCCTACAGGACACCAACACCAACACCCCAAGTGCCCCGTGGGGCCACAGCAGGGTCCCTACGGGGCTGTTGGGGTGTTTGTGTTGGTGTGGAGGGGGGGGTACGGGTCGTCAGTGCACGTGTCTATCAACAACAACAACAACAACAATCACTTTACCCGAACGCTCAGTGTTCTCACCAGTGCCAGGGTTTTCATACGACGCCCGCCAATACCCCCACTTTGTGGGGGGGCCGGTTCAAGCTCTACCACATTTCCAAACGACTCTTCGCCACCACCCACACCCAGCTTCCCGCCCTATGACGTTCGGACACTTCACTTCGTGGCCTGCGGACGACCGTGGCTACTACACTGGCGCATGGGTACAGTGACTTGTTGTGGTAACATTTTCTGGACGCTAGCTTAGTATACGACTTTTCCCCCTGTTCCAACACTGGACACCTATACTGGTTTTTGGAAAAACCATTGTTTTTTTTTAGGATTCGGACAGCGCGCGCGGGTAGAAATTTTGAAAAGTCGTGCAGGTGTTTTTCGAGGACCTACGGTGCGATTCGTGTGATTTTATGATGCGCGGTGCTAAAATTCTTAAGAAACCCAATGGTTTTTGGAGATTTCGGCGTGCGCGCGCGAAGAAAAAACGAATGTGTCCCGCATGGTATTATTTGACAGGGATGATGGCCCTGGCAGGTGCGCAACCGTTGTCGCAGAAGTTCGAAAAAGTTGCTCGCAAAAGCCCGTTTGACAGAAATGTTTAAAAAGTGTTGGGTTTCCTACGAATCCGCAAGAGCGCGCGGGATGAGATTTTGACATTTTTTTGTTGAAAAACCATTGGTTTTTTGATGTTTTTATGTTAAAATCGCTCCGAACACTAAGCTTTTGGAAGGATTTCGTCTTGCGCGCGCGAATGTCCACTTTACCTTATTTTTTGCAAGGGATTCTTGAAATTTGATTATATTAGAACAAGAAATGTCATTTTATAGTGTTTTTTGCAAGGGAAAGCGGATTACAACAAAACAACCGGATCTTGATCACATCGTTTTACCTGAGGCTTCCTCACGAAAATGATGAAAATGTAGCTGCGGCCTAGGCGGCGCAGGGGGGGCGCGCACCAGGGGGCCCAACAATAATTATTCTTTAGAATTAATAATGTTCAACAACAACAACCACAACAACAACAACAACAACAACAACAAAACAACAACAGCAAAACAACACCAACAACAACGACAACAACAAGAACACCAACAGCAACAGCAATAACAACAACAACAACACCAACAACAACAACAACAACAACAACAACAACAACAACTACAACAAGAACAACTACAACAACTACAACAAGAACAACAACAACAACAACAACAACAACAACAGCAACAACAACAACAACAACAACAACAACGACAGCAACAACAACAACAACAACAACAACAACAACAACAACAACAACAACAACGACAGCAGCAGCAACAACAGCAAAACTGTCCTCCTCCTCCTCCCTCCTCCTCCTCCTCCTCCTCCTCCTCCTCCTCCTCCTCCTCCTCCTCCTCCTCCTCCTCCTCCTCCTCCTCCCTCCTCCTCCTCCCTCCTCCTCCTCCTCCTCCTCCTCCTCCTCTGTCCTCCTCCTCCCTCCCCTCCCCAGGAGACCTGGGGCACCCCGGAGGCGAGCGCAGGGCGGCCCTCGGCGCGGGCCCCCGCTGCACGCGCGCCTCCCCGTGTGCCGCTGCCGTTGGCGCCCGACGAGGCTCGAAAGAGAAATCGACGCCGCGGCGGTGGAGCCACGCGCACAGCGGCGGAAGGCCCTCCAAAATGCCTCCAAGAGACCGCCCTAAAACGGCCCTTCCCTCCAGAATGCCTCCAAAACCCCAATCCGGTCCCTCCAAAACGCCTCCCTAAGAATGCCCTCCAATCCCTCCAAAATGCCTCCAAGACCTCCCTCTCAAACCGGAACGGACACTTCGAACCTTCGGCTCCAAGACGCCCCCAGCGTGCCCCAGGGAGCCCCAGGAGGCCCCCCAGAGAAGAAAAAACAGAGGGGTCGGCGGTGTGGCGTAGGCCTAAGAATCAACACCGCGGCGGTTGGCCACGCGCACAAACTGGGGTATCTGGACGCCCGAAATGGGTATGGAAAACATGAATACAGTGCCCAACAGCAAATGTTGTCCCAAACCGACAGCGGCCGCTGTTGGGCAGGCGGCCTTTTGTCTTCACCGGACAACGTCCACCGCGGCGCGAACAACGAGTCCTGTTCAAAATGAGCAGGAACTGCTGTTGGGCATCGTACCCATTCTTTCTGTACCCATGTCGATCGTCCTAGGGGTAGAGGGAGGCGGGAAAGGCTTCTTCGAAGCACCCCTGCTTCTCAGAAGGCGCGGGCCTTGTCTATAGACGTGAGGCCCGCGCCCTCCAAGAAGCGGCCTCCTAATAAGCCTTCCCCCCTCCCACTACCCCCTTTGTGCGGCCAAGGGACGAAGGAGGGGGGGGGGGGCTTCCCGCGTTTTTGTTCCTCGTCCCGGAGCCGCCTCTGATTGGGCCCTGGGACCATCGAGAAACTGTCCCAAGCATGATGGCGTCGAAAAAAAACGGACGGGAGGCTCTTGGCCATTTTCGGCCTCGAGGGGCCCTCGCCGGGCCTCGGGACCGTTAGGAACCGACTGAGAAAGAAAAACCGGTCCCGTGGAGAAAGGGTCGGGATTCCCAGGGACCCCGCCGAACAAAAATCAGAACGTCAGCACGTCTGGGGCCCCTGGGTGAGAAGCCTGCCCCGGAGACCCCCGCCCCCGCGGCGCCTTCTCGTCCTGCTCCCACTTCTCGATCCTCTCCCGGTTCTCGCGGTCCAGCCTCCACTGTTCGTGCTCCCCGGCCTTGTCAAGGGGCCCAAGGACAAGGACACACAAATACATACACACACACACACACACACATTCCAGGATTCCCAATAGTTTCCCATATTTTTTGTATTTTCGTCTTCCCCCCTACTTCCCATATGTTCCCATATCTTCTGGGGAATCGACGATGAATTGTGTCTGTGTTTTGTCTCCTCCTGACCTTGATCATGCTCTGCCGGAAGTCCTCCTTCCTGGCGCGGGGCACGGGGCGGCCACCGGGGGCAAGAAGGGGCGGCTGAAAAGGGGGAGAAGGAGGCGGAGGAGGAGGAGGAGGAGGAGGAGGAGGAGGAGGAGGCAGAGAGCAACGATCACAACGACAGCGACAGCAACGATCACAACGACAGCGAAAAACAACGAAAGCAACGACAACCACGACCAACGATAGCAGCGATAACAACGACCACGACGACAACGATGATAGAAGAGGGGGCGATGTGAAGAGCGAGGAACCTCGGAGCATCGCGAGGAGCCAGGGGGGTTATCCTGGCGGTGTGGTACCCTTCTTGTTGCGGCGAATCGATCGAGACATTTCCTGACCACACCCAACCCGAGGACCCGAACTTCGGGTTGGGGGGTACGGGCTGCACATGTTTTTTCAATGTTCCACGACCCATACTCGAAATGGAGGGCAAATCGGGGCCTTCGGGTTGGGTTGGGGTGGTTTGGTGGGCGGTGATCTCCAATCTCCAGCTCGGCATCATGAGCCTTCTCGCTGAAGGTGTCCCGCTAGTGCTGGTGGTGGTGGTGGTGTCGCTTCTCCTCCTGCCGAGACGGCCAACCTTACACGTGGTCCTCACCCGACCGCGGCCGCTGTTGGGCGCCTTCCGCGGCAAAACCCGGTAACGGGCCCTGCATCAATGAAGGGGCCCTGGGACACACAAATAAATACACACAAATAAAATAATTCCCAATATTTTCCTATATTTTCTGGGTTTTTGTCTTCCCCCCCAATTCCCATATTTTTCCATATTTTCCTGGGAGTCGACGATTAATTGTGTCTGTGTTTTTTCCCCTCCTGAATCCAAGCATAAACCCTGAACGCCCAAATTAGGGTGCAACTTCTGGTTGCATGGGCGCAGTGCTTGGCGTCACTCGACACTGCTTGGCACTGATTGGCACTGCTCGGCATGGATCGGCGTCGCTTGGCGTTGCTTGGAATTACCTGGCGTTATTTGGCATTGCTTGTCGCTGCTTGCCACTGCTTGGCGTTACTTGGCAATGCTTGGCATTGCGTTGCATTGCTTGTCGTTGATTGGCGTTGCTTGTCGTGCCTTGACATTGCTGAGCATTGCTTGGCAGCGCTTGGTGTTGCTTGGCATTGCTTGGCGCTGCTTGGCATCGTTTGATATTCCGTGGCATTGCTGGACGTTGCGTGGCGACGCTTGGCGCTGCTTGGCGCTGCTTGGCATTGCTTGGCATTGCTGCTTGGCGTTGATTGGCGTTGCTCGACGTTGATTGGCATTGCGTGGCAGTGCTTGGCATTGCTTGGCAGTGCCTTGCTCTGCTCTGCAGTGCTTTGCTTTGCTTGGCATCTCTTTGCACAGTCTGGCATTGCCTTCTACCGCCTGGAACTGCGTGGCACTGCCTGGCATTCCTGGGAACGCCTCGTCAGACGCAGAGAACGAGCGAGACCTGGGAGACCTGGGGAACCCGAGCAACTCGGGCAAGGCCGGCCTCAGGAACAGCAACCGAGGACCACGCCGGCCAGGTCGGCGCAGGGCTGGCACCCACCGTGGCTTCCAAAACAACAAGAGAATCCCTTGAGCAAAGCCTGAGGGGGCAAAAATAAGACTGCTGTTGTTCTTCGGCAGCCAGTTCAGGGGGAAGTGAGAAGGAGAAGGCCTTCTCAGAGGGCTGGCACCCACTGTGTCTTCCAAAACAAAAAGAGAATCCCTTGGGCAAGCCTCGGGGGGCAAAAATAAGACTGCTGCCGTTCTTAGGCAGCCAGCTCTGGGGGACGTGAGAATGAGAAGGCCTTCTCAGGAGGCAGCAGGGCTTCTCAGGAGCCCTCGCGCATTCCAAGAGAGGTTTTCTGTGTCTTCGGGGAAGGCCGAGAACACTTCTCAGAAGTCTGGGGGACTTCCGAGCCTTCTGACAAGGCCTTTTCCTTCTCACTTCCCCCCCTCGCTCGCCGCCTAATCTGGGGGTCCTATGGGGCGTACATGAGCCGTCTTGGGCTGTTCTTATGGGGCCTCTCGGGCCGTCTTGGACGTCCTCGATGCCGAACAGGCAAGAATCAGAAAGGCATGAAACACGAATGGATTCTCAGGATGCTCCTTCTCACCTCCCCCCCTCTCTCGACGCAAAGTTCTTCGTCACCAAGTTTGCCGTTCCACGCCGGCCCTCCCCAGAGGACGAGAGGGAGGAGGGGGAGAGCGGGCCCCCCGGACCTCTGGACGACCCCACCCCGGGGGTCAGTTCTTGATGCCGGGGACCGCTGCCTGACGGTCCCGAGAGGCCAGAGAAGGCCGAGAGGAGCGGAAGACCAGCTGCCACCATTTTCTCGGGGGGGAGGGCCACGTTCGGATCTGAAGTGGACGCCAAGGGAGGAGAAGGGGGGGGGGACAGGAGGGGAGAGATGCAGAAGGACGAGGATTACAGAGGGGGAGGGGAAAGGCGAGGAGGAAGTACAACGTCGATCACACGACCCCATTCGACTTCCTTCGCGGTCCATGACCCTCCTGGCTCACGAGCCACATGGCGCGTGCTGCAGTAGACATCGGAAAGGATCGGCCGGATCACAGCATTTCCTGTGGGGCCCTCAGGAACGAGGACGACGAAGAAGGGAAGAGGGAGGGCCGTGGCTCAGAAGACAGGCCCCATGGTGACCAGGGCAGGGCTGCCTGGGGGCGTGATATCCAATTAGCCGTTAGCCGTGGGCAGCGATGCACCAGACAGACCTCCAGCGAACCAGGGCATGGCTACAACGGGCTGTAACATTTTTCGTCGTCGAGGCTCCAAGCTCGAGGTTTGCGCGTGTTCTGTTGTCGTGTTTGGCTCCAGGACGAGACGCTGGCCCTGGGGAAAGGACCGAGAGCTTCGGGAGACCAGTATTTGAACAGACACGGCGTCGGACGTCGGGAACGGGGACAGTGCGCAGCATGTCTCTGCTGCAAAGACGGGAGAGGCAGCCCACGACAACTGCACCGTGGAGTACAACAACGACGGCGAGCACGTGCCGGCGGCAGTGCCAACCATGGCGACGTAACGACGGTGGCCGCCCTGAACTGAAAGAAACAGCCTGTAAGTTCGCTGGCGCCAAGTGGCCCAAGGCAGCCAGACGCCGGCCGTGGCCAGCGGCGGGATGCACCAGGAGCGAATGGAGGCACGAGGGCACAAGAGAACAGAGCGCAAGTGAGTATCGTTTAACCGGTCCCCATCCCAAGCGGCGTGGCCTGGGCCCCACTGGCCGATTTACCCCCTAGATGGGGATACAGGTCGTTCCCTTCGAGTTTCGAGGGGTGTATCCCCAATTGGGGTGGTAATTTGGTGGGGGTCTGGAAGGGGATGGGGATGGGGATGGGGATGGGGATGGGGATGGGGATCGGTTAAACGATACCGAGCAAGGGAGGCGGCTGGAGCCGCTCGGGCCAGAAGGCAAGCTCTTGCCGTCGCTCGGACGCCCCTTGCCCGCGCCTGCTTCTGCTTCGGGCGCGCTTCTCTTCTTGCTCTGCTGCTCGGTGGCCCAGGGTGCCCCTCCGTGGCCCTCGCCGAGACACAAACGTGCGCACGTCCGAGCGATGCCACAGGCACTCGGCGCTCGCGGGTCCGAGCAGAGAGTTCTCCGGCCGGCGCCAGCCCTCCTCTCGGGGACCTGCTGGCCCGGGTCGCTCCCGACCCGGGCCAGACAAGCCCTGCAAGATCCTGCCGGGTCCTGCAGGATCCTGCGCCCAAGCCCGGGCCAGCGCGCCCCTGGGCCCCGCCGGCTCCTGCAGGATCGGGCGCCCTGGCCGATCCCCGTTTGCAGGGACCCCCGTCTCTGGAGCCCCGACACTCCCCACAAGCCCTCTCCCTGATGCCCTGCGCGCGGCGGGGCCTGGCACAGAGAAGCGCCGCCCGGGAGCGCGAGGGGGATCGCTGGCGAGAGCCCAGGAGATCGGCGCGGGCCAGCGAGGAGTTCTGCGTCCCTGCCGTTTCCGTGCTTCCGCGGGGGCTCCCCCGAAGCGGTGCCCTCCCCGTCCCTGCCAGCCAGGACTCCACCGTGCGGAGCACCAGCCCAGGGAGGGCGAGGAAGAGGACAAGCAGGAGGGCGAGGAGAAGGAATCCGAGGGGAGGAGCAGGAGGAGGAGGAGGAGAAGGAGAGCAAGAGCAGGAGCAGGAGCAGGAGGAGGAGGAGGAGGAGGAGGAGGAGGAGGAGAGGAAGAGCAGGACGAGGAGGACGAGGAGCATCGAGGAGGACGAGGACGAGGAAGGGACGCTCTCAATTGTGTTCCATCCCGCCCCTTACCAGCGAGGAGCAAGCGGGCGCGAGGCGGCAGCTCCTCTTCAGCCGTTCCTCGGCACAAGGGCTCTCTCTCGCTCCCCCTCTCTCTCACTCTGGCTCGCCCGCTCGCCCCCAGGAGGAGGCCGAGAAGGAGGGGGAGGAGGGGGGCAAGGAGGGGGAGGAGGAGGGCGAGGAGGAGGAGGAGGACGAGGACGAGGACGAGGAGGAGGAGGAGAAAGGAGGAGGAGGAGAGAGCAGGAGGAGGGAGGAGGAGGGCGAGGAGGTGGAGGAGAGGAGAGGAGGCGAGGAGGTGGAGGAGGAGGGCGAGGAGGTGGAGGAGGAGGAGAAGGAGGAGGGCGAGGAGGAGGAGGAGGAGGACGAGGACGAGGACGAGGAGGAGAAGGAGAAGGAGGACGAGGACGAGGATGAGGGCGAGGAGGTGGAGGAGGACGAGGAGGAGGGGGAGGAGGTGGAGGAGGAGGGCGAGGAGGTGGAGGAGGGCGAGGAGGTGGAGGAGGAGGAGGAGGAGGAGGAGGAGGAGGAGGAGGAGGGC